CAAGCTACTAGTAGCTCCTGGCCTTTCTACTAGGAGCAAGAAGCTACTAGTAGCTCCTGGCCTTTCGACTAGGAGCAAGAAGCTACTAGTAGCTCCTGGCCTTTTTACTAGGAGCAAGAAGTTACTAGGAACAATGGGCACCGCTACCAAGAGCAAGCAGCCGGGACTTGCCTGGTCGTTTGGGTTGTTTGTCGCCGGATTGGCCTGGCCTTGAGGAAAACAAAATGAAACACCCATCGAATGGTGTGTTTGACCGTCGAGGTTTCGGTGTTTGACCCCCGTCAGACTGATTGGTAAATGCCTAGAGTTCTCCATGACTGTGATTGGGTTGCCCTAAGTGAACCACATGCATGACATGAAGGCTTTGATCGTCCTCCCCTCCTATTCCATATTCAATCACAGTTTTGACCCCAGCAAACTTTTTTTTGCATCGTGTTATTGATTAGACAAATGTCAAATCCATTTCGCCAAACTGCTAGCCATGGCGTATACCCAAAGAGGTTGATCGGGCAATCAACCAAACGCCGTTCGATGCCGTGCAGTGCAAACGGTTTCATCTTGTCACTAGGTGCCCCTGGCTGATCGCTCTGAAGAGGAGATTGCCAGACATATTCTGCGTAAAGGCACACCGAGAACGGGACTTCCCACCAGTTTCACTGGCATTGTCCATGTGAACTCGTAAGTCATGTAGACTGTTTATCGGTAAACCCCACCTACCACGATTGTTGTTTTATTCATCAACAGTCCACATGACCCAGTCAGTTGTATTGACCAACGCAATGGCGGGTGTTGGAGCTTGTGCCATTTGCCGGCGCAGTCTTGGCAGTGGCGTCACCATGCGTCACTATAGCATGTCCAGACTGATGATTTCGACTTTGACACACGAATACTCTTTGCCCAAAGTCTAAGGTTGCCTGTTTTCTGCACCTTCTGTTTTGTGCTGTTCCTTTTTTCTGCACAACAACAGCAGCAACATCAATGAACAATTCCAACAACAAGTACTGCTGCCGCCGCCGCTGCTGCTCCTGCTCCTCCTCCTCCTGCTGCTCCTGCTCCTCCTCCTCCTGCTGCTACTGCTACTGCTGCTGCTGCTGCTGCTACTGCTACTGAACTGCTACTGCTACTACTGCTACTAGCACAACTTCTATTGTTTTCATTCGACGCCTCCCTTCTTGTGGTTGTACAATAATAGCTCTAAGTGGCATGTGTAAACAACCTACACTGGTTCATTTGACATGACCGGACACATCACACACTCCCCCCACCTGGAACACATGCCCTACCTAGTTAGTAGCTATATGGCCATGAGTCAAAACGTTTTGGTATGGAACATGTACTCTTGAACATCTCGTTCCATACCCCGTTCCATACCTGTGGAACAGCATGTTTGTTCGCCGTTCCATACCCATCGTTCCATACCTATGGATTCCTGGTTTACAATTGTTCGAGATTCAATCAAAAACGTGCGCTTTGCTTGCTTACCGTGAGAAACGCGACTGAGATGACACGTCAGGTTCTTTGGTACTATTTGTTCCATACCCCCGTTCCATACCTGTTCCATACCTTGTGGAACAAGGGATCCGTGCCATACCCTATGGAACAGGAAGGTGCGCGATGTTCACCTGAGACCCGGGGTTTTGACGCACACCCATAGTTGTCATTTAAAGGTTCGGTCTATCAACGAAGGCCATCGCTATTAGCGAGTGAAACAGGTGTCCATGGTGGGAGGCCCATGCTGTAATTGAAAGCATGCAACGGATTATAGAAGCTGTGAAAGGTGAAACAAGGCTCGATCCACTGTCGATTCACAGCTGCTGGCAGTTGAATGAGCCGGTGGATCAACTACGCCGTCCCACCACAAAAAACGGTTGCAAAAAGCAATCCTCTGGATGTGTCGGTGTCTTGACGCAGGAGTTCTGCCACGGCTGCTAAGGAGCCAAAGGAACATGCAGCTTCGAATGTACCGAACGCAAACACTCCGGACGAAAGGAGGATCGCAGCGAGACATACAACCAACTCAAGGGTCCAAGCACAACGTGGCAATGGCGTCCCGCTGGAGGCTGATGTGGTCGCAGGGCCTTTTTGAAGCCGCATATTCACCTCTCCCATTCTTCAGCTCTTCATCCTCAAGCCACGGAGTCCCTCCACTCCCCAACCCCTCTCGAACCCCTAAAACCTTGCATGGCCGTGGTGCTTTTCGGGAGGAACACACCAGCTGTCTGTCCGGGCATCGTGTCTGTCCGGGCCGTCGGAACGTGCGTGGGCGGACGCGGCGGAGGTCCCTGTTGGCTGATCCTTTGGGACTTCCATCCTGCGGCGCCACGGGGAAGCTTACGGCGGCTCAGCCTGAAGGATTTGGCTGAAGAGATGAAGGCCTGGCTGGGGAGGGAACGGGTGAGGAGGGGGGGGGGTCGTTGGGGCCCTGTTTGGAGCTTCAGTTGACCGAGGTACTCGTACTTGGTTAACATGTATTTAAAAAAACAACAACTATGAATATACTATGTTATATTTTTCATGATATGATGTGTTTGCTCTGAAGAATTTGCAAGCAATCACGGCAGATGCTTATCGATCGATTGGTTTTTGCCAGAAACACCCGCCAGTCGCAGGTTGTGTTAGTTTCAACCTGGGGAGATTGACAAGTTTGTGCGTGCGTTTGAGAAGGATTCCATGCAGTCAACGTAAGCGTCCTCATTTTGGGATTCGGATGGGAGGCGGCAACTGGTAGTTAGTTCTTCACTGGGTCGTTTCTTCCTGGACAACACCAAGATATCCAGGAAAACATGAGAGACTCCGCCATGCAAGCAGAGTGCTGTGCAAGCAAATCTCAGACCCCACCCAGGCGCCCTACTGGCCCTTGCCAGGTGTCCCAAGGATGGCTTTGTCAGGCACAGCGGGAGTGACCCAAGTCACCAGATCCATCACATCAGGTACATCCAACTAGGAACAATGTTCGCTACTAGGGGCTGCTGGCATCGCTACTAGGAGCATTCTTACTACTAGTAACAAGAAGCATCAAGAAGCCATCCAACTCAGTTCGTTTCATTTGTTGAATCCAGGAGCTCCTATCGACCTGGTTGAGAGTTCCGGGGAAAGGAGAGTCTGAGATGAGGTCTAGTGACTAGTGTAATTAAGCCTGAACAATAGAAACCTTGAAAGGCATCCTCCTTGGAGTTTTGATTTTGATTCTAGGATATTCTAGTTCTATGCACTTTTTTGGCTAAAGCTGTCTCACAACTCGGAAAAGGGATGTTCACCTAAAGCTTTGCTGCGCACGTAGCCGCAATGACTAAGTGTGACTACCCCTTTGTTGAAGACGCTACTCTTGCAGATCAGGGGATTCAATATATCAACATTCAACAACCAGATTCAACGTGTGATGCATGATGTTCTCCAAGTATCATCATGAGCCCTCCGAAAAATCGCCAGCGGTTTGTGAGAGCCCTTGGATTGCTCCCCTCCAAGCCACTCGGTGTTTTGGCCCTCGGTGCCGAGGCACTGAAGAGACGGTGCAGCGAAGGCGGAAAACGTCCAGTCAACATGGTGGTGGATGGATGGTGGAAAACGATAACCTTCAGGGGGGTGTGGTGGAAAACGAGCAAAAAAGCGGTGAATAGAGATGGATACGACGGTTCTGGATGGATTCCGTTGGATATGGTTTGGATATGTTTGGATTCCGTCTGTAGAGAAAATACGAGTTTGACAGCGAGATCGAGCTAACTGTCAGCTGCTGTCTTCAGTTTGAGCAAACCCTTTACGCATTTCGGCGGACTTCAGCTGAAAACTGGTCAGCGCTGGTGAGGACTCCATTCTTGGGGAGATGGGAGATGGAGCAACCTACTGAAGTTTCTTCTGGGGCGGCGATGAAGCTAGATGGATTTCAAACTACTTAGACATAGGGTCTGGATGAACCTCAACAAAGGCAAACTGAGCAAAGCTTTCAGGTAGTTACTGATCCTCTTGAAGCGGCACAGGCCTTGCACTGGAGCAAGGGCCAATACTTTTGCAGTCATGAGATGAAATGATTGTGTCAGAAGGCTGCCAAGCCAAACGTTGGGTCGTGCCACTGGGTAAGCCCCGGTAACCTTGGCTAAGCCCTAAGCTAAATCCTCCTAGGCGCCTAGGCCTAAGCATAAGTGCCTGCATAAGCAAATCCTTATGACACAGTCCAACAAATACGTTTGGCCGCTGCTCACGTCCGTGACCATCACCCCCGGCAGGTGCGATTTTCTTGAGCTTCCCGGACGAGGCGGCGGCGAGATTTCGGGATGTGCCATGGATTTCCACTACAAGAATCGCAATAATGCTTTCAACTCGACTCTATTTGTTTAAACATTGCCTGTTGACTACAGACCCACAAGAGAAAACCTGATTAAACATGATCAAAGTATCTCTCAGAACCATGCAGGCCGGCTATTCACAGCCGGCCCACTTTCTGAGTGTGAAGAGCTGGCTTCACTGCCGCCTAAAATGAGGCGTACGGCGTAGGTATGACATGATGAGGCTTCTGAAAGGGTGTTAAGACGCTGTTGGGACACTCTTTCAGTGAGACTTACTTAGTAACGTCGGCCTTGTCGGACTTAGATGTTTCCCAACATCTCTCAGCAAAGTGGGCAATCTTGAGAGTTTACTAAGTTCGTTTGGGATTGCTTGAACCCTTGTGGCCCTTGTGCTTGAACCCTTGTGGCCCTTGTGCTTGAACCCTTGTGGCCCTTGGCTTGAACCCTTGTGGCCCGGAGGTGTGTGTACCATGATTCCCGGGTGCTACCGATGAAACTGTCTGCGTCGGTGGGCGCTCGTACAGCGACGCAGGATCTCTTCCTTTGGGCGGCAGAGGTGACGTGCGGAGACTGAGGAAGGAAGGAAGGATCTGTTTTGCAAGATCGAGGTGAACTAGGCCATTCAGCTCTTCACTTATAGGAGTGAACCATGGGTTTTTTGCTTTGAAGTTGCAGGTTCCTGCTTCTTCTTCGGATTGATCGAGAAACAGATCTTTTTGCACGGCACACATTGTTTGTGTGCCTTGTGGTGTTTGCAGGTGGCTAGAAGATGCTAGAAGTTACAAACATCCACACGCGCTTGACCAATGCTGGCGATTCTCCAAGTCATTCAGCGTATGTTTTGATTGTTTTCTGTTGGGACGTGTGTGACCGTGTGACCTATGATGTCACGGTTGGTTTCCAATTGGGGGGGGAAGCTTCCAGCAATTGCATGGAATAGTGCGACGGATTCCCAGCTATTGTGACCCAGCTAGAAGGAACTCAGAGTCTTCTCAAGAACTGACCCTTCACCGAAAACGACTTCACCTGAGGCCGGCCCTGCTGTGTTGCGAAGGCGGTTTGGCCATCGAAGGACTGGGGTGTTAGCTCGACTATCTCGACTCAAGACTGCAGACCGTCAATGGGTTGGTGGGTGTTCATGGCCCTGTTCCCTTCCACGTGTTTTTTCTTAATGCACTCTTTCAACTCATGTCCCCATCCTTGCCTCGACAGGAGACACGGGAGCTGTCCTTTCTCATGAAGTTCCTTGGTCGCAAGATGGACGACACCCACGTGACACCAAAGGCCCAAGAGTGTGTTCAGACCCTGGACCCCCAGTCAGGGTGGTTCATGGACACCCCTTGACCTCTTTTTGGGGCTAATATATAATGGACACCTGGAATCCGTGGTGCTGGACCATGGCAACCTCGTTGCCTTTCTCCCAACCTTTCGTTCCCTGTTTGACCTTCGCAGATCTGTTCAGGATCAGCCGATTGCAGGTCTCTTTGCAGCCGGTGAGGCACGGGGAAAGATACCAGGGCTCCATTTCGGAGGATCGGCTTTTGGAAGGTCAGACAGTTACAGAAAGAATAGAAAGGGCATAGAAAGAATATGAAAGAATGGGGTATTGACTCGCCAGCAGGAGGGCAGAGATTGTTTTGCAATTCGCTCACTAACATGCACTGCATTTTGCTTTTCTGTTCCTCGAAGAAAAATGGTTTAGTGAGCAAAGTCGCTTCGGTGCTCGACCCAACAGATTTGGATCCATCTCCGGACTTTTTTGGCCTCAGCAGGCAGCTGCCTTTTCAGGAGGCTCTTTGTCAAGCTGCGCCACTTGGAAGTGAAGACATGCCGTTGTGACCCGCTCACCGCTGTGGGCTCTGGGATCTTCCTTTCTAAGGCTCTGGAGAAGAGGCAAACAAGAAGTTCGGGTCCAACAAGACTTTCCCAGCAACAGCGTCCCTTGCCACCCAAGTCAGGCCAGTTCTAGGTGCAAAAATGCTTTGAATGTCGATCATAGGCTGAAGAACAACTCAGTCGGCTTGTGGTGGTTGGTACATGTTAGTACTGCTTAAGGTTATTGTTGGAGTCAACACGGGCCCGCATCCGTTTCTTTCGATCTTCGTAGCAGTCAACATTGTTCCCATTTTGCTGTGAGCATTGATAAGTGAAAGACACTTTAGCTTCCAGGTTGCAGCAGCAGTCTGTCAACCCCCTGACTGGACTTAAGGATGTGAGAATAATCTCACTAAGACGTGTTATATACATACACAATAGTTCCCATCTCTGACCCCACTCAGGTCACCTCAGCCTTGAATGCCTCGTCATCAGCTGTGGCGGCCGCAGCTGTTTGCATCGATGGCGAGGTGGAGGCCTACGGTGAACATGAATGGTTGAGTCAAGGTCCTTGTAGCCACTGGTACACTGGCACTTGGGAATGTGACTGTCTTAGATGGCTCGAAATGATGGTCGAAAGAACATGACTTTGCTCATACAGAGTTTCCAACGTTTGTACCGGCCGCCTATCCCTCGAAAAAGGCAAAGTTGTACGGGATTTGCCCTCACTCTACAACGGAGGCCATGACAATCATGACGCCCCTAATGTATTGGCCATGGGGTACTTTTTGATTTGCAATTCAGGTGGTTGCGGCTGATGCAACTTGGGAACCCAATTAGATTGCCATGTTTCTTGACACTTGGGCATTTGGGTTCAATTGCTCCGAGAAACACCAGCATCCGACCCCAATGAGCCCGGTTGATTGATGATGTTTGATCTTGGGGAAGTCCATGCAAGACCCTGCAAGCTTCCCCAAACCATCCAAAACCAGTCCCGCCCAACAACCATAGAGCCCATTCTCGCAGGACTCTTGAAAGTTATCCTAAGCCCTAAGCCAGCGCATGCTTGTGCACAACTTTTACCTGAGACTATATATTATATAATATAGTTTCTTTGTGGTCATGAAGAATAATATTATGAACGGAGAAGAACATGGTGATGCTGCTGTTGCTGTTGCTGTTGCTGCTGCTGCTGCTGCTGCTGCTGTTGGTGTTGTTGTTGTTGTTGTTGTTGTTGTTGTTGCACATCAACATTGAAACAAACTTATTCCTTTTGTTCAATTGCCGCCACCAGCCAGGCAGCTGAGAACCCGAGTGAGCTGCCGGCCTTCTCGCCCGTCGCGGAAGAGGGCGCGAATGAGCCAGCCCAGCCCGGTGAGCTGCGTGGACGATTGGCACCTGGGATTGAAGGAGAGAGACTCTGAATTGGTTGGAGTGAGACTCTGAATTAGTAAGAACACATTACAGCAGATAGTCGAGTCAGACGTCAGAAAACAGGAAGATGAAATCTTTCTTGGGCTTTCTTTGCAGAGGTCCTTGTGCTTGTGTAAAGTACCCTGAACTACGCAAAAGGAATGGTGTTTGTATAGTGGCTGAAGTATCCCTACTACACCTGGACCTATAATTATGTATTTGTATATAGTATACATATGTTTAGCAGCATGTGCCCTGAAAGCAGTTGGTAGGTTGTGACAAACAAATAACTTTCCCACTACAGTCACCCGACCTTGCATGCCAGTTTCCGTCTTTTTGCAACACTCCTTGTTTTTCCAACCAAAACATTATCAGGCCTTTGTCATCTCATTTGTAGGAGACAGAAAGACAGATCAGTTTGGGATCCGTGTTCCCCCGCATCGCGCCTGAGGCCCTCAATCGACTCGAGGACTTCCTAGAGAAACATCTCACCGCCCGGTGGTCCAAGTGGTCCCTGTGGCATCCTGCTTGGGTGTCCTGGCTACCCTAGTAGCGATGCCAGGAGCCCCTAGCTTCTTAGGGATCTCTTTCACCACGACAGGATGGACCCGGTGAAGACTCCCGAGATCCCGGCTTCACGTCCGATCCACGGGCGTTCCTTTTTTTCCGTGTCTTCAGTGTTTCGCCCAACCACCACGGTGACGGCGGTCCCAACCACCGGGTGGTCCCAAACTCCCAAAATGAATGGGTTGACATGGTTGACAAAGCTTCTGACCGATCAGCCCAAGAACAGCGCATGTGCGACAGCACATGTGCGACTCGGGGGGGTGTAGCATTTTCGCTTGAGATTCACATCGCAGCTTTGGTGCACAACACATTGGCATTCAGAATCATTCAAAGGCACTAAGGTAACGTTAATGGTATATATCAGAATATATATATATACTCATGGTGAAGTTGTTTGTGGACTCTTGTGTTTTGTCTATTTTCTTCGTGTGGTGGATCATAGACCCGGCAGAGTCTTCTGAACAATCCGAAACACCCTCATGATGCAATTGGTTCGCTACAACAGTGGAACATCCACTCACAGTGGAACATCCGCTTGCCAAATCCATTCCGCATGAAAACCCAGATTATTCAACACACTTCGCCATTCCTTCAGTTTTTTTTGTGTCTGGGCTTCCCGGCGCGACGGTCCCGCCGTCGTTTCGCCCAATGCCTTCCAGGCGGATCTGGTGCAGGAGGCCTTGCTGAGGCGCTTTCGCCCAAATGCTTCCGACCGCGAAGGGCTCCGCGTTTCGGCCGCGAGTTGCGCCGTCGTTTCGTCATGTGGGAAGTGGTCCTCAGCAACAGAATGTTGAGAAGACCACGGTCTCATCATACACGGAGTAAACCATGCCTTGACGACTATACTGTTAAAGTTTCCACAACGTTCTAACAACAAAGTTCAGGTTGCACCTGTGACTAAATGGATCTAAATGGTAAGCTCAGCTGTTGAGTCACCGACCCCGCGGTGAATGCTATCAGTTTGAGAACCTGTGTTCATGGCAGGACGGAACAGTTGTATTTCTCTACACTGAAACATGTAACATTGTATGCAGAGCAGAGGAGGAACGTATGAGCAAATGTGCACTATTACTGCTAGTTTGTTTTGGGACCCGATTGCTGGTGTCAAGGGTTAGTTTGAACTCATGACAGAACAGCCACTACTGTCCAAACAAATCGATACAAACAACCCCCCACCTTAACTCCCAACTGAACATGTTCTTCATCTCAGGACACTTGACCCTCAAGAACCAAACATTGGTATGGACTTTTAGAATCAATAATGGTCACTTTAAAGCCATTCTTGAGCAAGGGCGTCCTACGCGTGTTTGGCCATTTAGGCCACCTGTTCCCGAAGATGAACCCCTTTTGCAAATGAACATTAAGCACGAAAGATGCAGGCTCTCCGGAAGCCCCCGAAACCCGACTTGGGCTTCAGCTTTCCAGGTAAAAGTCAATTCTTGATGGACCCGACCTGCCGTCCATTTCTCCAGAAAATCTCCGAAACAGCAGAGGACCATGCAAAAGAGGCATTCGAGCTGTGCCAGACAGGGGATTCAAGTGGTGCTCTTGTCTTCCAACAGTATCCACATACAAGATATCATATAACCATAGCCCATCATAGCCCATAGCTGCTCAACGCGCATCCTTAGCAAAGGGCGATCGCAGCGGTCCGCGGTCGCAGGTCGTTGGAGGATGGCAATCTTTCAAAAGTGGCCAAGGCCGGTCCCGCGATGGACCCGATGGAATACCAATAGAAAACAAGAATAAACAAGAACTTGACGTGGTTAGTGTTTTTTGATGTTTTTGGTATTGTCTCCTTCTTCCCTGGACTCTGTAACTTTTCGATTATATACATGTTTTTTTCTTCAGATCAAAATCACAGCCGTTCAGTCACTGACTTCCCCCTTCTTTTTGTTGTGTGTATTTTGTTTCATCTTCTTCCCTTACAGTGAATTCTGAACTTCGGCCGAACATGTTCAATCCTTTTCCGAGATCGAACCGCTCAGCCACGCGCCGTCTTCTGCGCCAGACACGCGAAGTACCGAGGATCTGTGTTGCGAGCTCACGAGCTTGTGGGGGCTTCCGAGTGGCCAGGCACGGCCACGGATCCGTGCGGTCGGGGCTGCGTGAGGCGGTTCGGTTCTCACATGTTCTCACCGGTTCCAGCTTGGAAAGTGCTCAGTTTTGTGTGCGAAGGAGATGTGCCTGAGTGTGTGTTGCAATTTGCAGCTTTAGAGGTATAGCTGGACTCAGTGTTTAAGCAACGGTGGCTAGATGCTTGTGTCATTGAGATCGAAGCACGTCTGGAAGCTTCAGATCGGACTTGGAATTGTGCGAATTCAACATGTAGAATCGTAGAACTCGAAGCTTTCTGGGACGACCACCATTCAAACCCACCCGGCTGTTCACGATCCCATCCGAGAACCCACATTAATGGTTTGTTTAACAGTGGTTTCTCAGCAGTACCTATTTGCTTTGCCGGTATTGGTAGAAAGGCCCATCCAATTCCATCATTCCACTAGAGAGACTGATCAATTCAGTGATCAGTTCTGTGCTTGGTGAATTGTCCCTCCAAGGTGCTCGTAGTCGACATGTTGTTGGTGTTTCATGTGTCCGGGACTTCGACGCCTTTGCTGTGCGTATGTAGGACATAATAGCTCATCTAGACCTGCAAGAAACAGAGCTTTTGCATGTGTTTGGTCAGCAATACGCTTGGTGCAAAGCTTTGCGTATCAGTGATCTGGGGTACAAACAGGGCAAAGTTGAGTTTGGAGAGGGAAATGACTTCAGCGAACAAGGTTGGGGAATATTCAATCATTGCCGCAGAAAATTGTTGGAAAGGTCTGGAAAAGCAGGCCTTCTTGCGCCACTTTCACAAGTTCGTTCCAGAGATGGCGCCTGACAACACTGAGAATTATGCTTTACAAGAGCATTTGGGCACCATGCTCGCATTCGGAGCCCCAACTCAGCTGCCAGCTATCAGCTCTCCGGGTCCAGGTCCAGTCCACTTGCAATGTGTTTTTTTTTTGTTTGATGTCATTCTGCTTCACGCCTACGTCATTTTGTGCAAATGTTCTTGACTTCTTTGTTTGTTTCGTTGTCGATTTGTTTGCTTCTTACCCGTATGTCAGTATCTGTTTCATTGTACTGCTGTTCTCATTCCATTTGTTTGCGGTCCTGGGTGTTAGTGAGCAGGAACTTTACGTTATTGGCGGACAGGCCATAGGGGTGGGGGTTTGCCCATGCGGAATTTCCTCATGCAAACCTTGGCACAGGCTAAAGCATCGCAAAGCCACGGCATTGCTGCAGTCGGATGAAACGGCTTGGTGCGACCTCGAAAGCCGAAGTGCCAAGAGATCGAGTTGACTCGGACAAAAGAAGCCGAAGGAGCCATGCTGGAGGGTGACAGTTGCAACCAAGTCCGTCTTTGTTCATTGTGGGCTTTGGCTTGATGTTGGCGCAAGGAATCCAGTGCTGAAGGGTCTCTTGTCGCTGGAGCCTCTCTGGGGCTGTATGGCACGTCACTGCGGCGCTTTAGGGCATGTGAGTTTCTCAGCAGTTTCCCTCTCGACATATTTTGGCTACGACGTATACTATCTAAATCTATATAAATAATATATAGATGTGTCATGTCGTTTGTTTGCAAGTACACCAAAGCCCCTGATGCAGTCACTGATGGCCACCGCTTGAAGCGATGCCAAGGATGTGAACAATCATGCACGTATGTCTATCGACTTCGACTTCCTTACTGTCCTTACTTGGTGTTTGTTCAGGGGTTAAGTTGCACTGGCCCTGGCAAAGGAGCACAAGAATACAATACCCCCGATCCTGTCTGACCTTGCAGCGGAGCTGCGCAAGGTGCAATGGTTTTGAGGTCACAAGGCCAAATTAATCCGAATTGTACCAGGACCATCCAAGGGGTGTCCAATAGACTACCCTACACTACCTAGAGATCTCCATTGGACACCCTTTGGATGGTCTAGGTATATCGCCAAGTGTGGATGCAGCGGCTCCAAAGGGCACAGGAAGTAAAAATAGCGTGATCGCAGCTATCATCCTGTTAGATGCGAAGTAACAGGTTCATCCTCATGTTCCATTGACGAAATGCATAAACACAAATCTCAAACCCAGAACGTGGTGGCCACAACCCGCTGACCACGCAACGTGTGCCTGGCTTTTTTCTCGCCTTCGAAAAAGTAAGGCGCTCTCGTTGGCACTTCGAGATCCGTCCCTTGCCCCAGTCGGGAATTGATTCAGAGGGAGGGTCAAGTCGCAGTGTTCAGAACATGACTAGGAAAAATAGGAAGGAGTCAATGACATTCAAATGCGTTGCATCCAGGACATATCAGCGCACAGTGACTTCAGCATATATTTTAGAATCATTTCACGGCTTTGCTTCTACGATTATAACTTTTAGCAAAGGACCACTGCTTCTTATCCTGGATGAATCAGCGGGTCAGCGGATGGAACGGACACCTCATTTGACTCTGAAATCCCTGCCCTTTCTTAATGAAGGAGAACTCCATTCTTTACAGGAAAATACATGTTAGGTTGGCATCATAGTGTTGAGAATCTGATTCTGAAGCACGGATTTTGTTCGAGGGAAAAGTCAAAAAAAGAGGCTCGGAGTCCGAGAGTTTGGGACGAATTTCATCTCAACCAGCTTGGGTGAAGCTTTGCAGGTCACACCTGCCGACACGCCCCATGATTGCAGCCCTACCCCAGGCAGGGTGATTCGACAGTGAACCTCAAAAACAAGTTTCTATTTACAGTCTAGATGAAGACCAGGGGCACTGGCCGGTGGTGTTTTCTTTCAACGTGGAAAAGGCATGTGGAACTATGTTGGATGATCCTTTTGTATCCTTTTGTCAGGTATCCGAAAAATCACAGATTTTCACACATTTACCAGATTGATGTAGGTCAAACAGTCTCGTCTCATTTGCTAGAGTTTGTGACGGTTCCCACATGGATGTGGGACTTCTCTCACTTCTACCTGAGAGTTCTGGTGGTCTCTTTCGCCCACCAAACCCGAAGATGTTCACATCCACGGAAAATTCAATACGTGGGACAAATCAAACCACATTGTGGCTGCCCAGGGTGGTGATTCGCTAGAATTGTAGCCTTATGTACTTTCAAGGTCGTGCCAAAGGGCCCACGTCACCATTTCAAGGTACCAGTGGAATGAGCAAGAAGATTATACCTGATCTGAACCAAGGCCAGGCTAGATAAGTGACATACTGACTGGTATGCAGTTCTAGCTCAGGTAAAAAGATTACCTGTCGTGTTCGAAGTATGAGCTCGAAGGGTTGCAGGCGTTTCCTCTCAGTTGAGACTAACCCACCCCAAGCCATCCCAATGATCGTCATGCAGCAAGTGCATCCAGAAAAGGCGCTCCTACAAAAACACACACACTCTGGTGACATTGGTTTGCAGTTAACTCAGTTCCCACGTTGAGAAGGAAGGTGATGGAACCGCAAGGTGAAAAGGTCGGCACAACTGAAATTGTTTAACAAACTGTTTACTCATTTGCAGAACGCGCCCCTGCCTCTTTTTTCTGCGTTGAGAAACTAATAGGTTAGTAGTGATACCAGGAGCCCTTAGTAGCGTGTAAACCACCATGGAAGCAAACCAAGGAAGATTAGGGTCACAGCGTGGTCAACAGTTTGGAACAGGTACACAGTGGGGCGTCCCCCACTGCATCAGCACCTACTGGCATCCTCTTCGTTGGACGGGATGCCAGTGGTGTCCCGTCCCCCTGCGAGAGAACCGGTGGACCCTTAGAAACGGGGCTTGACACACACACACAAAGCCGTTTTCGGCGCGTTCTCCCTTGCTTACAAAGGAGTAGCGAGGCCAGGGGCCTCTAGTAGCGTCCTGACTCCCCGGAGGACTTTTGTACAGAAAGCGCCAATATTGGCGCTGCAAAAAACTATTAGCCACCTAAAAAAGCCTTAGAAAGACAGACAAAGCAAACAAAACAAAAGCAGACTAAGAGGGCAAGAAAGAAAGATAGGGGTAGTTACGAGGCCCACTTAGTTAAATGAAAGTAGTTCGCGAGCGGCACATTTGTCTTAAACCGCCCGGGTAGCTAGCTAGGAGAAACAGAAGGAAAGGCACCGACACACAAGTGTGTTGAGTGCGATTTCCTTCTGTTGCTCGAGTAGCGGGTGGGATAGCAAAGGAGGCCCAGGGGCAGGGAGGGGGGAAAAGAAGCTGCACGATTAATTCGTCCGGCCTGTGAATACTTAGCAGCATGACATGGACATGTGAATACTTAGCCGTAAAAGAAGCTGCACGACTGATAAAAATTCGTCCGGCCTGTGAATACTTAGCAGCATGACATGGACAGGTGAATACTTAGCAGCATGTCAAGGACATGTGAATACTTAGCCGTATTCCGTGGTGGTGCAAGTGAAGTAAGTTGATGGTATTCCGTCGTTTAAAGCCCGGCGGCTCGAGAAACAGTTAATTCAGTTATACAAGTGGAGAAAGTGAATTCAGTTATAAAAGTGGAGAAAATGATCTCCAGCGTGAATTCAGCGCCCCAGTGAAGGGGATCACACCCAGCACCCAAGTGGGACGGCTGAGCGGCTCACACTCTGACATTGGTTTGCAGTTAACTCAGTTCCCACGTTGAGAAGGAAGGTGATGGAACCGCAAGGTGAAAAGGTCGGCGCAACTGAAATTGTTTAACAAACTGTTTACTCATCTGCAGAACGCGCCCCTGCCTCTTTTTTTCTGCGTTGAGAAACTAATGGGTTAGTAGTGACACCAGGAGCCCTTAGTAGCGTGTAAACCACCATGGAAGCAAACCAAGGAAGATTAGGGTCACAGCGTGGTCAACAGTTTGGAACAGGTACACAGTGGGGCGTCCCCCACTGCATCAGCACCTACTGGCATCCTCTTCGTTGGACGGGATGCCAGTGGTGTCCCGTCCCCCTGCGAGAGAACCGGTGGACCCTTAGAAACAGGGCTTGACACACACACACAGTTGGGTGGTCTCATGTTTTTCGAGCAGATCCTGACGGTCATTTTTCCATAGAAATCACTCTGTGGAAAGAAAAAGGACACAAGTGCCAGCGCATAAACACCACACATGTTTCATCATTTTTGTCCATATAGCATCACTCTCATGTTTTCGAAGAAAAGTTTTCCGCGATTCTGCGCAGAAACGCAGGCTGGACGCTTGAACAGCGAGGCGAATGGGGGAAGTGAGATGGTGAGGCAGTGTAAGGGTCCTTGAAGTTGTTTGTTTCTCTCCTATAGTATGTGCATTGTCTAAATATTTAGCACAGGATTTGTTGGACAGTTGATTCTTTGATATTCTTTGCATTTGAATGTTGTGATCTGGCGCCTTTATAATCCTTTATCATCCCATATCCAGGATCTGGAATTAAATAAGTTCGAAAAAGGCTTCCTGGTCGATGCCACATGGTTTTCTGAAAGAGTTTTATTGTTTGGGGAGAGTCGTCAAAGCAAGACTTAGGACGAGAGTGACAGAAACTGGCTTCAGGAGAAAAACCATTCTATAGAAGTTCAACAAATCCCTTGAAGGCCCATGAATCATTGGCTTTGACTTATTGGCATCTTGGGTTTGTCCTTTCTTACCTGTAACAACCGGTAAACAAGAACATCACTATTTGGGAGAAAGGCCTTTAATAACCTGTTACTGGTAATGGGATAGACGGTAGACCCAATTAGTATCCTTCTAGATACCTTCATTGGGCATTTGTGAAATTGGTACGTCGTTCTTTTCGAAGCAGATGGCAGATGGCAGGTGTCTACGAGCTGCGTGCAGGAGACCAAGGACCTACACACAGACGACTTGCCGGAGTTTTGACATGCAGAGACCACCACCATTGGTCAAAGCTTCGGGTGTGTAGTGTGCTGGGCCCCAAAACATGCAGAGCACGGACTCTTAAAGTCCACCTCATGGTCCGAGCAAAGTGACATGCACCGACAGTTGCACGTCTTCTCCCTCAAAAAGACGACACTTATCCCTGGTTCTGCCAATCATGCCAATGATGTTGGATATAGGATCTCTCAACAGGCCCTCAATGGAGCAACAAGTTTACCTGCAGCTGGTATGGTATCAAACAGTCACAACACCCACAGGTCTTGTACTTCTCCAACTGTTGATGCCCATCCGGCCCAAACCGACCCAACCACCAGGTCTCCTCGCACACGAAGCCTCGTCCGCTGCCGGGCCTCAGCACACTCCCCCGGCGTGGACCCGGCTCCAAGGCACTGTCGCCTTCCACTGAAGCTCGAGGTGAGTGAAAACGAACGGGCGTGTGCCGATGGGAAAGTCCGTGGGAGGTAGCATAGCATCACTTCTTGGAACAGATCTAAGGTGTAACATGTAATGCTGAGAAGCACACACAACACAGAACACGGACATCTTATATGTGCCATCGTTGCTATAGACCGATTTAAGGAGGTCAGGTAGTGCCATGATGGCAATCATAAGAAATCGGATCAAACCCAACATTCAGTTAGAAGGTTCGGCATCATCTTCCCAACGTTCAGAGTCTTTTTAACCCGGTTCTGCCAGGTTTCTGCTGAGTTGGCTTGGGGCCTTAGAGTGCACAAATGGCCGGAGGTCGTGAGCTAGCCAACATGTCTATGTACTATAACCCTGGGAGTCTAAGACTATAAAAAGACTGGTCTCTAGGTGACCCGAAAAGGAATGTCTTTTACTTCAGTCGGTCAAAATACAGTTTGGACTTCTAGGGTGTATATTAAATATATAATAACAATATAATAGTTAACTATATATTATATAATATATACATATCCAGAACCATCCAAGGGTGTCCAATGGGCTGCCCTACACTACTTAAGGACCTCCATTGGACACTCTTCGGATGGTCTATGTGATTGTAATCTTTTGACAAAGGATTGGCTTTTGTTATCCGAGCTGTCACATAGGTGAACTTTTAGAAAAAAAACAAAGTCATCGAGAGAAGTTAGAATCAGAATCCATAGGATCGTGCCTTTGCATAGCTAGTTTCTCTTGAACAGTGTGAACGACTGCTATATGTCCAAACAACCTTCGATGTAAGATGTTTGTTTTATGTTTGTACAAATCCTCAGTTTTGAAGTGAGTGAATTCTCATCATCTCCCCAAATGCCTCGATGGTTCCTCTTGGCGAACTCCCTCGAATGCCTGTTTTGGGTCCGCCTCGTTCACATGACAAGCTCAGATGAATGGCCAGCCGACAGAAATGCCTGCCGTGCATGCCAACGGAGTCTCTGAAGGCCTGCAAAACTTCCGTGCGTTTGCATAATGCCACTATATATATATATATGTGTGTTTTATCCCGAGGACGCAGGATGACTTGAAGTGGGATCAACATGGACGCATGCAGATGCAGATCAACCTGTCCAAAAGCAAAGCCTACTAAAGCCTGAGAGCCTACGAATAGAGGCAGTGTGGGAAATCGACCGCCAACCTGTTGGTTGGGCGCTTCTCCCAAATTTTCCCAATTTCCTGTTGATGAGTCAGAGACTATCAAAAGTAACGGTGTATTGAGATCGCTGGGGGGGTGGCCATTCTCGCAAGGTCACTTCGCTTACGCCACCCTACTCTATGGACATGGGGCCTCAGTCTCAGAGAAATGTCACGGTCCTTTGTCTGCCTCGGTCCAGTGAAGTCAGAGGTTTGTGGTCTTATTATTAGTAGCGAGAAGCTACTTTTGCCGTGTACTATTATTTGTTATTTCAGTTATTTCTCATTTTTTGTTGCCTTTTGGTGGTTGCATTTCATGGGCCCGAAAGCAGTATCGATTTCAGCGACCAGGTCGGGGGTTTGGTGTTGTCACCAAGTGAAAAGCGGCAGCTTGGACGTTGTTTGGGCGCAACACTGGTACGACTTTCTCAATGTGTTTGCTCGAGGCCTTTACGAACAATAATCATGTGCATCATCGCAACTGCTATGCAACCCTGCCCTAGCAATGCTTTTTAGTGCCCTTTCTGCACTACATTTTATTCTTTGAACCGATTCTCTGCAGTGGATGACGGTTTGTATACGGGCCTTGTCTATATACTTGACATGGTCCGATCCACGTGTTTTCCACGAGACTCTCCAGGTGGAATACTTCCTCGGAGCCTTAGTGCTTGGCGCCGCACTCGGATGTGTGGGCCCCCTTTCAATTACATATATATATATATATACCAAAACACAAAGGAAGTAGAAAGGGCATCAAACAAAAAGGTAGTTGAAAAGTAGTAGACACTCGAGGGGCAACTGACCCATAGCCACGGGTTTGGACCATACGTGATAGTGGGCTTCTAGCTTTGTGGCAATTGATTGGAGGTTTATCGTTTGACAGGGTGAGCAAACGTCTTCTAGTATCTAATGATGTTACTAATTAGTGGTTCTTTGGGTTTGATTGGAATCCTCTTAAGACAGACGCATTATTTTTCGGGTTTGCGTTCAATGACTGGTGCGGAAAGTGGTGAGAAACACTTTGGGCTGAGCAGTTGCTGGCGAAAAGTCATGCTGGTGCAGGCTGGTCTTTGCAGAACAAAGGATGTCAAGAAGAAAGGCTACTGCTACATACCAAAGTCTGGCACCTGGCTTGGATGTTCAAGTTGAAGGGGCGGATGGGAGATGGAGCGAAGTTCATGCCTGGTTGCTGAGATGAATAATTGAATAGACAGCTGCTTGGTACCAATGAAGCATGAGAGGCAATTCCGACGTCTAGACCATAGTGAAAAAAACAAGCACATTTTGGGATGTTCATTGACATTCATTGACGGCAGGATGTACCCGAGTCCTTCTTGGATGCTTTGCAGCAGTACTGGAAGCTGCAAGAGGCCGACCCTAAGACGGCAGGCAGCTCTTCCAGGATATGTCAGGATTTGCAAAAAAACTATCCGCCACTGCATGACTGAAGATAGTGTGGCTTGGCCACACCCGTGCAGTGGTGCCTATGTGTTGTTGACAAAATCTTCGCCCAACACTGTCGAGATGGAGCCCTTGCTCCCAACCCTGAAGATTGCCCATCATTCTGATTTCGGGCTCCAGCTGTTTTCAAGGCCTCCAGCTTGATTCTTTTTGGATCAAGGTCTACATCCATGCAACTCCCTCCACCCGGATCCACCACTCCAAGGGCTGCCGCTGGCCGAGCCTGTGGCTCGTCGCCCGGTTCACCTGATCCGGTAGACGACCGTGGTAGGTGGACTACCTCCATGGCGACAAGTCCATGTACAAGAACCACGAGGGCTCGCGTTTCCAGGAGACTCGTTTTTTTTGTTTTTAAGATGTCACAACTCATTAAAAGGGGGCTCATGGACTCATAGAAGGATTAAGTGCTCCTGTGTTGCATAGAAGGAGTAAGTGCTCTTGTGTTGGCAACACAGTGTGCGCATGTGTCCGAATAGTTGTTGCATGTTGTTGCTTAAGCAAGACGCAATTTGGGAGGGTGCGATGGGACACAAATATGCCCAGCACCGGTGAGGATGTCTTTACCAAGTTGCAGGCGTTGTCCTGCACGGAGTACTCGAAGGTCATCTCCAGACTGGGGTGGTTTGGGGAATGGCCACACAGACGGAAGGCTTCGGTGGCTTGGGCTGATTTCCATTTGGGGAGCAGAGCACTTGAAATGCAGACTTCTTGACATGAGTCACTTACTGGCGATCTTGATATTGAAGGTTTTGTTGTTTGGCAAGAAGATATTCCTCGTTCGTGACACTCCGTTCCTGGGAGTGATGATTTTTTGCTATTTTGTGATGACTTCACAGGACTTCACCCTTTTTCGAGTCAAAGACGTCGCGCCTCACGACGCGAAAAGTGGCGCATCTCTCCAGCCAGCATTGCGACGCCAGAGCGAGGTTTTGGGGTGGCGTGAAATCACAGTGGTTTTCACGGTATCAACAGACCACGGCTTGTCCCAGGACCCTGGCACGCATGGCCATTCCGAAGGTATTCAACCAGAGGGATCCAGAGGGTACTGTAATGTCTCAGGAGGACAGATTAGCAAAGTCATGCAAGTATGTCATGTTTTGTGGCTGGCCACCGGCCTGGCTGCTCCATCATTAGAAACAGCTCGGGTATCCTTAGGTTCTTATGATGGACCTAGACATGCTGGTTCGTGGCAACCTGGATGAGCTCTTCCACTTGCGCCTGGATCTAAGAACTCAGAATCATCCGCGGGTCCATCAGGTCATTGGAGAACCATACCTTGACACCTTGCAACATCAGTGCTTCAACAAGAAACAATTCAAACACTCCTGAAGATCGGGAAGCGGGATCATGCGTTGGGCACGTAGACTATGGCTGTGCCATACAGCAGATATTGTGATGTATTGTGCTACTTCAAGCAGTCCGCGAGTGGGTCGAGTGGAAGCCACGAGTCGATCAGAGAAGCCAAAGGATCCCGAGAAGTGCAGCTACCCAGCCATCCGAAGCGAGCTGCCATCCGAGTAGCGGAGTAGCTTTGATGTGCAGCTTTTGTTCGGAAAACACGGACCGGAAACCATTCAGTGGACCATTCAAAATCCGACGTTCACACTTGATCCACTGATTCGGCCGTGCTTAGCCGCCGGTCCGAGCGGAAGAATTCAGCCGGTCCGGCTCGGTCGAGGCGCCCCGGCGGCGCTGAAGAGATCTTCAGGCGCCGCCTCGGTCGATGAGGGCTTGGGATTTGGGAGAAGGGCTTTGAGATGCTACTAGGAGCAAAGGGCATAGGCTAAGTTCGCAGCAAGGACGCTACGAACGGGGCGCTCCTGGCCTTACTACTAGGAACAAGAGGACGCTACTAGGCTTTGAGATGCTGAATGTGCAGTCAAGTATAGTTTCTATATGTTTCTATGATCGATGACAAATGATGATGAGGGATATTCACCCACCATTCTACAAGCTATGGAGACCAGAGATTGTGTGAAAGATTGGAGTGCTTGTCAAATGCTTGGCATTACACTGCTGTGTGGACTGGGATTATCATGCTACTTGATGCCGGACGAATTCCATTTCTTCGTGCGAAAGTGGTACCCAGGCGATACAAGGATTGTTTTGCGGACGCATGCTACTATTAGGTTGGAGGCCATCGCTACTAGACAAAAAAGGGATCATGTTAAAAGGTGCTTCGTTCAGCACATTCTTGATCCATCTCATTTTTCCAGGCCGGGAGCAGCCGGAACATGGCGGCGACTTCTTTGCCGAGGAAGATGGGCTTCTGTCCAGAGCATTTGAGGGGGTGTTCCATGTAATTTGATGAATGAAGGTCGGACTCTTCTAGGCGATGCTGACTTATCCTGTTTTGGGGCCAGGATTTTCTGGACTGACCAGATGTTGTGCATCGACGCGCCATATCTACAACTGGGCATTATGGTATGATGTGATGCATGTATATAGTTTTCTCAAATATGGTGAGTAGATTTCAGACTTGCCGAATGTTCATCGCTGTGTTTGGGGTTGCAAACCAGCAGACACTCTGCCAACTCCATGCAGAGTATTTGGCTATGCCGGCTATACCTCGTGATGTAGTGTGAGATCGGGGAGATTGGTATTAATGAAGGGCCCCTCCGTCCTTTGAAACTGTTGTTTGTCCAAACATTGCCAAACATATGTTGATGTCCAGGACTCACCACGCTAAACGATAATCCGAAATCGCTGGTACAAGGACTATTATACCCGGCATGCAGCCGGAGCCTCAAAGCCATACCCGGCTCTGCTCGACTCCTCGACTCGCTCGTTGGTTGATGGAAGATGTGAAACACCTAAGTCAAGTCACCAGGTTCTACGGACGAGTTTAACTTCAGATTTCTGTTCCAAAAATGTCTTTGGCGATGTCAATCACCCCGAAGAAGCCAAAGCCACCCTGCGTGGACCGTGACTCTCTATGAGTGTGTGATCGCTAAGGACGACATGTATGGCATCAACGCAGGTGTTTGACACTGAGTGACCTTGAGAAGCTCATGGCAACTTTAGCGTTTGGTCAGATCAAAGTCAGCGATGATTCTGGACCCGATGTCCAAACAGCGGTCCGGTTTCGGTCTTTGGGTCTCTGGAATGCGATAAATCTCCATCATTGAATCATAGACGATTGGCCTTGGACTCTCCTGCATGTTGAGCTCTATATAAGGATTATAATGGATTACCATTGGTGGAGATTGCACGTACCAATCATAGACAATATCAAAATATCAATTGAGCATTTTCTTGGTTTTCATATCAATTTAAACTCACGGTCTAGTTTTCACACCGTTTGTGTCGTTCGTCCATCCCTCAAGTTGCCGAGACCTTCATTCAGTGTCATTCTGTTTTGCTGAAACAGGTGCAGATCGATTTGGCCTTATGCTTGTGCTGACGGAGAAAAATCAAACAACCCCAAAACACAACCCTGACCACTTTGCTGGCCCGTTCTTTGGGCTTTGAGGCCGGTTCCACCAAGGTCATGCTCTTGGAGCCCAACATGGACGTCTACCACCGGATGCTCCGTGAAATTCAGGCACCAATTCGCCGTCCAAACGCCCGTTCCGGGCGGAGAGATGGCGATTCGCCGGTTCGGGTCTCCTGTCTGGCAAGACCTGCCTGGAGTGGAGGAGACCCCTCCCGCAAGTCTGTGAGTGAAGGAGACTTTTTGAGTGTCGGTCTTCTGAGTGGAGCAGGGTAGTTGGAAGGGGCGCCTAGAGGCCGGGGTTCAGGCCGGGTTGAGGCCAAGATTCTCGGAAGGAACTGCTGATGTGCCATCCACAGAAGCCTGATGTCGAAACGTCCTGTTCTAGGATTTTTGCAATATTTAGTTCCTGCCTTTGTTCAAAGTATTTTGTTGCTACAATTACCTCCGTTTCCGTTATCTCATAGTTTACCGCCACTGGCACCAACCTTCCATAATTTGTCGTTTGTGTTGATCCTGCTGTAATTGGATACAATATGTGTTATGCAGCTGCCGATTGATATGTTGGGGGCATTGTCATGAGACTTTGTTCATCAAATCTGTTATGACTGCTGTGATGGTTGGGAAGGTGGCACATTTCTCGCATGTCGAGGACCCTCGGCATCCTGAGCATATCAAGACCTTTGGGCCCGAGTGCTTTGGCAGCATGCTCTGAAATCAGCAGTGGGAAGAAACACTTCCAAGACTCCAAGAGTCAGTCAACTTCCAAGGGTCAGTTCCTATTCAAGATCTCTCACCAGTCACTACAACTCCAGCTAGGTGACTAGCTAGTATAGTAGGATGATTCAGGACTCAAAGTTTAGACATGTTCTTCAAAACCATCCCTGTCTGGATCTCCGTATATCCCAGCATCTCCCGAGGCAGGACTACTTGGGTCGCTTCTATGGAACCTTCGCATGGGGCGCCTGGACACATTTGCATGCCAGGTGGGCCACCCAGGCAGACTGGACAAGTGGGGAGGGATGGGATTGCTTTTCTTTTGTGGAATATGTTGGATCATGACGTGTGGATGATTTGTAAGAAAGAAAGATTCATGTCAGTTCCCGGGTGTAATTGCTCAGCAGAACATGCCAGACAAACTAGATGATTCATGGTGGATGTTCAAACTCCCTTGCTTGGCAGACTGCCTGAGGTTCAATTACCAACCAAATCTTCCTGATGACTATGTGACTTGGAAGGTATGGCAGTGTTTCTTTTGCGAGCTCCCAAAGCTCAGTTGCGTTTGGTCATGTGTTGCATATATTTGGGATTTGTTCGATGCTGCAGGAGGTGCACAGATGAATAAAGTTTAGCTTTGTTGGACTCAGATTTGGAGAGCAGTGTTGGGGCTCAGTGCAGTTCAGTTCAAGATTGTAGTCGGTAAGGTGAAGTGGAAACAGTGGAAATGCAAGGACAAACACTTCAGGCCCTGCCCATGTGGCTCATGGTGAAACTCAATTTGCACAAATTGCACGTCGCTCGCATAAATATGCATAGCATGGAGGGGCGAGTGATTTTCCTTGAGCCGGATCCAATGCAATCGACTGCTGCCTCACTTAACAGTTAAATGGTTAGAGTTATGTCGGGCACGCCAGCCATAGATACAAGGAGCCAAAATAAAAGGCAAACAAAGCAAAAAACAACGCACAAAAAAGCAAAAGGTAAAGCAAACAAAAAAGCAAAAAATGTAGCTGTGCGTATTTGTCGCTTTTTTTCACTCTTTTTTGTTCGCTGTATTTTCGCATTTTGTTCGCTTTATGTTCGCAGTTGTTTCGCTTTTTTGTTTTTTTTCGTTTTTTTCTAGGTACAGCACATATTGCTGACGAGTAAAAGTTCTCATAAGTGCAGAAGTGATACCAGGAAAAAAGCAACAGAAAACAAAACAAAAGCAAAAACAAAGCAAATTGCGCTGCTTTGCATGTTCATTTGCTGTTTTGTTCGCTTTTTTGTGAAAAAAAATTGTTTGATGGTTGGTCATGTATGGCTGCCACTGCCCAACACAAGGTTATAGAGCTTGAATGCAGTACGACTTGTAGCTCAGATTCTCAGAGTGGCAAGACCTGCCCCTAGGGGGCCATGCTTTCATGGCTTGGATGTCACTTGATCTATTGACGTCACTTGTACTTGCAAACATACTTGATAACGCAAATGTCATACGGGAAAACAGTGTATATACTTATATATCCGAAAGTGTTCGCATTCCGAGCAAGCTTTTCCGCACTTTCACTCATCCCAAACAACACTCTCGGTCCAACAACGCCACAAACGCACGGCCTTTACAGGCGCTGTTACCATGCTTTTAAAATTTCTGTATACGTTTATATAGAAACGGTCGTTCCGAACGCTCTGAGGTGAGCACGGCTCATCGCAACATTGACGTGTCCTGCATGCGTTCAGACCGCGCGGTGGTCGGCGATGGTAGACGACATTGTTGACTCAAGGTAGAGTGCCTGCAACGGGAGGGGACAGGTGTATGGGTCCTTGATGATTTGGGACGTTCCTTGCAGTCTACATATTGAGCCCATTCTTGAGCCCATTCTTAATTGAGATCACAAGTTGGGTGACACACTGGTTGGAGTCCATGCAAGTTGGACGATCCAGGAATCTGAAAGTTGAACATTTGACATAGTTTGACGTCCAAGGGGGATTGTCAAGAGATTGTGCAGCATGATCATTTGTTGAGTTGAATCTTATATGGATGCATTGTGTGAGCCTTTCTTGGATGTCCTTTGCTGTAACTTTGTTGAGCAATGCTACTATTATTGTTGTACGTTTTAGAACTATTACACGTGTTGATCGTTCTGTTGTGCCAACATTCCTCAAATTCATCAGTTCCTTTGGGCTTGGTGGGGTATGGTCTCCACAAGTCTACACAGGGACAGACGACTGGTAGGACTGGTCTCCCCATCTAGATTCTATGATCATTTTCTGAAGATCAATGACACCCAAACATGGACCAGAGATGATTTCCCTCTACTCGTGACTGGTCGGGTGTGACCGTCTGCAAGCTGAGGTCTTGCAGGATGTCGTGGTGGCCCACTATAGTGGCCCAAAGGCGGATCGGTCGGATCGGCCCGGATCGACCAAGGACCGATCCACCTAGATCGACCTGTGAAGACCGCTGTGACGAGCTCCAAATCCGCTGGTTGACCTGGTTGCCAACGAGCCCCGTGAAGATAGCTTCTTAGTTCCGTTCGCGTCCGCGAACGCTCGGTTTTTCGGTTCGTTTGGCCAGGAGTCGTTGGTTCATGGTCCATTGGGATCCCGTGCCCCACAGCCGATCCTCCGGTCAGTGACCGTTTCGGCGATGCAAGCTAGATGGTCCCCATGACCCATGGCTAACAACCAGAGAAACACCACACCGCAAAAACGAACGCCACTGCTTGTCAACATCCAGTTTTAGTAAACTGATCAAAAACTGGATAAGGACAACACAGATCTTCATGATCACTGCACATGAACAGCAAAGGTCACATTGTTGGAGTATGTGTCGCCTGAAGTGGGCCAACTTCCTTCCAGATTTCATGTCAGGATGGGGCCAACATTGGCGGGTTGAACACCTTTTATATACTTCATGATACTTCTCATGGTAGGCTCACATGGTCACCAGGTGAAACCCTGGAAGATTCCCAACTTGGAGCTGAACGCTGGGCGCTCGAGGGAGAACACCGACAGAAACCCGTGGGATGTGTGAGATTGGTACGGCAGGTCAGGCCTGGTCGAACTTGGAGATGACCTCCGCATACACCTTTGAGCAAGATTCACCTTGTTATAGACCATATTAGTAATATTTTATATTGTTATATATTATAAATATATAAATGATATAGTTTACTATATACAGTACGATTTTATTTGGAAGATCATGACGTCTACACTTGGTCAGATCAGGTTCCATGATGTACTGATCCCGGTCTCAGGTCGCCGGCGTGCGCCGCTTGATCGAGGAGACGATGGGAGGGAAGCGTCCGATCGCTCCGTTCGAGTCGCGATGCCCGTTCGTTGCTCCGTTCGTAACGATGCCCATTGCTCCGTTCGTAGTAAGGCCAGGAGCCCCGATCGTAGCGTCCTTGCTCCTAATCTGAGAGCAGAGAGGACCTTGCATCACCGGTAACAAACAAGCCCCCTCTCCACCCACCGAAAAAAACAAACATAAACATGGCTGCCCGAATGGTGAACAATTCTGTGACTTGCTTGCTATTGATGCAAAGCGTGTGCAAGGAAGTGTTTGAATTATGATCGCAGTGTCAAAGCTCAAGATGTATAATTGATATTTTTGAAAACACACCCCTTGAGCAGCTTTGCCTCAAATTGAGCGCACTGCACAACTAGTACCGTTTACATTTGCACCAAGATGGAATGCTTCACTTGTCATTGTTGGTGATCTCGTTCAATTGCATCAGCTACATCCGCTATTTTGGGGTTCGCACACAGTGCCAAAAAATTAGCCTTATTGAGGCTTAACAAGGCCTCATAAGGCCTTAATTAGCCTTATTAAGGCCTATTTTCACCTCATTCTTCATGGGGGGTAGTCTACGGACCTGCGCCTGTGCAGAAAAACGTGTTCCAGCGGTTTTTGTGCTTCCACCAATGCAATATGCTTTGGATGCAGATTCATGGCATGTCAACGACCCGCAAAAATGGCTGATCCATCATCAATCCAATCACATTGAATGGTAGATATTGCAGATCAGCAATTCCGTAGGCAACAGGTCAAAACAGTCAATGACAAATTTGTGTGGAAATGCAAAGCCCTCTAAAATAGCTTAATTTACTGCGTCAAGGTAAAAACAACGTTTTGTTTGGAGCTATTCTAAGTACTAATAAGCCTTATGGTAGTAAGGCTTAATAAGGTCTAGTGGCGCTTGATATTGGAAGAATTGCTCTATTTTGGAGGGGGGTTGATCACGGGGGTCGAACGTTATCGGGGAATATCGGGGATGGTATCGGGGGATGTGGAAAAACACGGTAACTATAGCAAACACATCACATGTGTTTTCCACATGCCAAAACCGGGTTCGGCGCTGAAGACCGTCCGGGTGAACCCAGGAGGATGAGCTTCGATGGCTCATGGGCGCAGAAGCTGCGCGTCCCAATCGGGAAGGAAAGGTGGTCATGGATGGAGTCGGGGGATCCCAGACACGTTTCGGAGTCGTTTGGAGTCGGAAAGGGACGTCCGGGCAGGGAGACTGAAAGGGGGCGAGAAGGTGGAGATAGGGTTCAAGTGGTTTAAGTGGTGGGGAGAACGATGTCGGTGAAGAAGTGGGCGTTTAGGGTTGGGACATCGTGGGACCCACCCAAGCACCGCACTTCGCTGTTATTTGAAGCTCATATTGGATTGGGTGATGGGTTCGTGGTAGTTGAAATTCTTTGTACATGTCCAGAATGTTTGCCTCAGCCTTTACCCTTTGTTGAGTCGGGATAGATTATATAACATGTAACATCCTGTCCACAAAACCTCAGACAGATCATGTTTGATCATTTTTGGAGCCTATATTTGCCCGAGGAGTGTGCACTTCCCAAAGCAGAACTCGACTAACTAGTGGACAAAGATCTTTTTGCAGGACAGTTCAATCCGAAATTCATCTCGACACTGTCTTTTGAGTCTAAAACGCTTCAGCGTCTTTGCGTCTTTGAGGATGAATGTGCTTTCTTTCTTGGCTTCGCTTCTTGGTCTTGGCTTCCTTCTTTTTCGCTCTGGACCTTTCCCTTTCTCTTGGGAGGTGGAAATCCGGACACGAAGCTCTGGACTCCCGGAAAACGTGCAGATGCTCATGTGGGTCAGGGGCCTCAGAAGGTCGCAGACCATCCATGGGACTGGCATATTGACCTACATTGGGGTGGTTGAAAAGGGGTCAATGTCATTAAATATGCCATACATGGATGGTCTAGGGAATTGAATGTACACTTAGACTTGGTATACTATCTGACCACCAAAAAAAAAAGCTCAAGGGCTCAAGGGTTGATGAATCTGGAGATCCGGGAGAGCCCCTTCACCGATAGGCACAACAGTCAGCAAATGGATTTGGCTCCGACATTTTTTCCCGGAAGTTGTGAGTATGCTGAAACAAGACTATGTACCAGGACCATGAGTGAGCAATGGACCACCCGACACTACCCTCAACTACGCTACTCCAAAGGGTGTGTTTGACACCTGTGATCTTGGAAACCCGGCATTATTCCCGGCATTGTGTGTGTGTCCTGGGATTTTGTCTTTTATCACAAGGCCTGCTCCGGCCATCCTCATCATTCCACGTGGGCCACAGGCGCCTTTTCGATGGTGGCTCCCGTTGCGCCTCTAGGGTGCAAGGCATCCATCCCACAGGATCCTTCACATTCCTTAGCCTCTAGTAGTCTAGGGTGCAAGGCATCCATAGGAGTGTCCATAGGTTCTTCGTGCCAGTGAGGGAATCATATGATCCTTCACTTCCTTTGTTCCCTCTCACTTCGGATGTTGAGGAATGGATCTTGGCACTCCGCCAGTGCAACCTGGACTTGCTTGAGGCACTGCACGTGTTGGACTGAACCACTTGGAGATGAAACTTGTGTGAAAGAGTGCAGAATCAGAACGACCTTGAAGTCAGTACAAGTCCCACGCTTGAAGTTCACTAAGCAACTGAAGCTGTTCTTGCCCTGATCAACGCCGAAAGTCCTTGACTGTAGGAATCCTGTGGCCCTTTATGAAGACACACCAAAATAGATGTACTCCCCTGCAGATTAACATGGAACCCCATCAGGTTCCATGTAAGTTTGCAGGACTAAACAATATAGGAACACCGGTCAGCTTGCCACATCCTCATGTCCCCACCATGGAAACTGTCGCGACGGCGCGAGAGCAAATCCTGTACAAAGATGTCTTCTGCCCATGAATGGGCAGGAGAACACTTCTTCAACATCTCGGCGTGTCCAGCTGTCCAGCAGAGCGTGACCAGCTGCTTCAAGTCCGGAGAAACTCGTGGTCCTCCCCAAGTCAGGCTGGCATGGATTTGCTCACTCTCATCGATGCCAAGAACCTGTGAGCGCAGCCATGAGATGGGCGAGGGATGGAGCCATGAGTGGAAGGTGTTGGGTGGGCATTCATGTGAAGTCGCATGTTGGAGTGTATCAGATGCTGTGGTGCCTCCTAGTTAGTATGTACGTCAGTACTTCTCGCCTGCTGCAGTTCGAAGCATCATCCTGAAAATCCGCAGAGATTGATCGTGAGCAGAGGGAGAGCCGACAACAGAGCGAAAAAGAAAGAGGGAAGGAGGGAGGGAGGGAGGGAGAGAGAGATAGAGAGCGTGATTTTAGTACCTTCTCTCCAAATGCTTGACTTGTACCAGTATTGTGGGACAAGGAACAATAGCTTGCGCACTGCTTGCACTTGAACTGGTGACAATGTACTTGGTCTAACGATTCAAACCCATACATGGCCATACATGCATTTGTGTAGTTCTGGCAGGTTGAACTGTCGCAGTCATAGAGTCTTCTTGAAACGTAGCGGTCAAAGGCATCGTTTGTTTGTTCAAGTCTAGGCAGGAGAGATAGACCGAGATAGAGACAGAGAGAGATAGGGTTGTGGGCCATGCCGGTCACAAAGTTGGATCCTGCTTAGCATCGCTTAAGCGATCCTGTTTTCGATCAGGTCTCCGCTGCTCGCTTCGCTGCTTTCCCCCGACATTCGGTCCAAACCGAACGGAACAACCGAGGTCGGCTCGCGTTTTCGAGCAGCTCAGCCAGCGTCGCGAGTCAAGGAGCGGTCAAGGATGACAAAGTTCCGGTTCCACGGCTGGGGTTGGAAGTTCTGTCCCCTCCTGTTCACCCGGAGCTTGAGGGTTTGCCGGGAGTGCACCCTGCTTGACCTTTTTGTTTGGCATGTTTTCCAGGAGAACTACGGGAGCTCACGCTCTTCGATCCATGCTTCATCAAGGGGCCTTGCTACAAAGGAGTCATTTGGTTCCCTGCCGGGGCGCCCTGACTGACCGACCTCTTTGTCGTTGGCGTGGGTTGGGGCGGGGGAATGAGTGGGATGAGTAGGATGGGGTGGAGTTGTTGCGAGAAGCTGAAGCGGGTGGTGGATGCCACTGGAGAATGATGACAGCTTGGAGATTCAATGAGAAAGAGATGAGGGGTTTTCATGGGCGGCGCCTTGTTTATTTATTCCTAAGGCCCATGTGGCCTTTGTGAATAACTTTTTGGACTAGTTTTGACTGGAATATGTTTTCTAGGGGGTCGGCTGAGGGGGTGTATGGTTGTGCGAAGCTGTGCACTTTGAACCGTAGGCAGACCGTGTAGATGCGGACGGCGGACCGCGTTGGGTGCTGCAACTTTGCATTTGAAGTTGGTTGCGCAAGATCTGGAGAACATTCAGTGGACTGTGGACTGGTTTCCATCAACTTTGATCTTATAGGCTGTCCATGGATATCCAGGAACTTCTTTGTATGTTTTTCCCGAATGCGTAGCGAAGGGTTCTCGTTTAACTCTTGGGGGTCTGGGGGTAGAGTCTTGTTCGCGATCCGTTGTTTCTATGTTCGCAACCGTCCGCAACCGTTCGCAACCGTTCGCAACCGTTCGCAACCGTTCGCAACCGTTCGCAGTAGGACGCTAAGGCGCTGCCATTGGGGGAAGCTTTTGCAAGTGACTTTTCATGGATGTGTCACGTGTCAGTTTGCGCCGCTATTCCATTGTGACTTGCATGAAAATGACATGTGGCGCAAGAAGCGTGATGCATTTCGCTGCACAGGCGCAGCGTTTTGTGAGATCTGCAGATTGCTGCGTAGTTCCATTGGGATTAGCGTTTGGAGAGTCGTGTTTTTGGGGTGTTGGATGTGGCCGTGCCATTGGGATTTGCGTTGCAGGGTGTGGCATCGAAGCTCTGTTTTCGTGATAAGTCTCAGCTGAAATGCCGATTTTGGTGGATGGGAGTGTGCTCAGAACGGGTCGAAATCATTCCAAACGTGTGGTGTGGTGCAAATTTTGTTGAAGCTCACATGAGATGACATTGTTACTTTTCGTGGCAGGCGCAGGACTTTGTGCGGGTTTTGAGGTGTGGAAGTGGGATTTTCGTGGCAGGCGCAGGGAATCGTGAGGTTGCGAGGTGTGACGGAGGTGACATTTCGTGGCAGGCACAGTACTTTGTGCGCGTTAGACGTGTGGACGCGGAAAGATTCGTGGCAGGGGCAGGGAATCGGGAGGTTGTGAGTTGTGGTAGAGGTGAATGTCGCTGTCGCATTGGGATTGGCGTGTGAACGGGTGTCGTTTGGAGGGGCTGGACTCGCGAAACTGCTTGGCAGGGCTGCGTGATGTGTGTGCTCCGATGGGTGTTTCCGCTGGACTTTTGGAGGAAGTCTCGTGCGAAACGTTCGTTTTGCAGACTTTGACATGTGAGTTTTTGAGGAAGTCTCGTACGAAACGCTCGTTTTGGGGACTTGACATGTGACTTTTGGAGGAAGTCTCGTACGAAACGCTCGTTTTGGAGACTTGACGTGTGACTTTTGGAGGAAGTCTCGTAAGAAACGCTCGTTTTTGAGACTTGACGTGTGACTTTTGGAGGAAGTCTCGTACGAAACGCTCGTCTTGCAGCCTCGCAGCGTGACTTTTGGAGGAAGTCTCGTACGAAGAGTGTGCCCTATACAGGAGTGTCCCACAAGAGTGTCCTACAAGAGTGTCCCACAAGAGTGTCCTACAAGAGTATCCCACAAGAGTTTCCTACAAGAGTGTCCCACAAGAGTGTCCCACAAGAGTGTGCACCAGAGTGTCCTACAAGAGTGTCCCACAAGAGTGTCCCACAAGAGTGTCCAAGACAAGAGTGTCCCACAAGAGTGTCTTACAAGAGTGTCCCGTATGAGTGTCCCACAAGAGTGTCCCACAAGAGTGTCCCGCATGTCCCACAAGAGTGTCCTACAAGAGTGTCCCACAAGAGTGTCCCGTATGAGTGTCCCACAAGAGTGTCCCACAAGTGTGTCCCACAAGAGTGTCCGACAAGAGTGTCCCATATGAGTGACCCACAAGAGTGTCCTACAAGAGTGTGCAACAAGAGTGTCCCGTAAGAGTGTCCCACAAGAGTGTCCTACAAGACCGCAACCATGTCCCACAAGAGTGTCTCACAAGAGTTAAGAGTGTCCCACAAGAGTGTCCTATAAGAGTGTCCCACAAGAGTGTCGGACAAGAGTGCCCTACAAGAGTGTCCCACAAGAGTGTCCTACAAGAGTGTCCCACAAGAGTGTCCTACAAGAGTATCCCACAAGGGTTTCCTACAAGAGTGTCCTATAAGAGTGTCCCACAAGAGTGTCCCACAAGAGTGTCCTACAAGAGTGTCCCGCAAGAGTGTCCCGCAAGAGTGTCCCAAATGAGTGTCCCACAGGAGTGTCCCACAAGAGTGTCCCGCAACAGTGTCCCGCAAGAGTGTCTCACAAGAGTGTCCCTTAAGAGTGTCCCACAAGAGTGTCCCACAAGAGTGTCCCGCAAGAGTGTCCCAAATGAGTGTCCCACAGGAGTGTCCCACAAGAGTGTCCCGCAACAGTGTCCCGCAAGAGTGTCTCACAAGAGTGTCCCTTAAGAGTGTCCCACAAGAGTGTCCCGCAACAGTGTCCCACAAGAGTGTGTCCCACAAGAGTGTCCCACAAGAGTATCCCACAAGAGTGTCCTACAGGAGTGTCCCACAAGAGTGTCCCACAAGAGTATCCCACAAGAGTGTCCTACAGGAGTGTCCCACAAGAGTGTCCCACGTCCCGCAACAGTGTCCCACAAGAGTGTCCTACAAGAGTGTCCCACAAGAGCCCCACAAGAGTGTCCCACAAGAGTGTCCTACAGGAGTATCCCACAAGAGTGTCCGACAAGAGTGTCCCACAAGAGTTTCCTACTAGAGTGTCCCACAAGAGTGTCCCACAAGAGTGTCCCACAAGAGTGTCCCACAAGAGTGTCCCGTAAGAGTGTCCCACAAGAGTGTCCTACAATAGTGTCCCACAAGAGCTTCCTACAACAGTGTCCCACAAGAGTGTCCCACAAGAGTGTCCCGTATGAGTGTCCCACAAGAGTGTCCCGCATGTCCCACAAGAGTGTCCTACAAGAGTGACCCACAAGAGTGTCCTACAAGAGTGTCATTTGGACATATGTAGCTTTTTGAACGTGTTTGCATTCGGGTTCGTGGGCTCCATCTTGTTCTTTGCTCCGATTCCAACAGCAAGAGCTCTGGAAAACCAGGTCATTTAAACTATTTAATCATTTAGCAGCAAACGGGAGCATCCCCAGGGCCCTGAAATGTAGACTGAGACACTATGCCAAAGCTATTCTATAAACAGCTTGCAACTTGCTTGCATGGTCTAGATCATTCTAGATCAGGATACAGATGATCAGATGATCATGCCCCTGCAGATGAACATGCACCTTGAAAATGAACACGCCGGTCACCGCTAGGACTCTGCTCCACATCTATTTTTCGGCACCATTTCTTACACCCCAAAAAGGGCCTCCACTGTTCCCCCCCTCCATCGTCCGCCGGCGCCAGGGCTCCGAGTTTCTGGGGCCGGGTTGGTATTGCAAAGACCGCTTGGCGGTGAAAAAGACGGAGCTTTTCGTGGGGGAACTCGAAGCGAAGCGAGAAGCTGTGAGGGGTTGAGAATCTTGGCCAGGCCCGGTGTGAAAACGCGGGAGGAGAGCCACACTACATGGAAACTGATGGCAGGGACCTTTGGAAGACGATATTCCTCTACAACCAGTGGTTCTCAGGTTCCATGTTAATCTTCCAGGGCGTATATAAATATCCTGATGCGACTGGGCATCGAAAGACAGAAGGCCTGGTTGAGAACCCCCAAAGCCGTGGATTTGACCATTGCGGTTGTGTTTGATTTGTTTGCCGAAGTTCGTGCAGTTCGCTTTTTGATCGGTTTGAATCTGATCCTGCTAAGTGCGATTCCTTCAGCGGAGACGTCCCGAGCGAGTCGTCGCGAGTGTAGCGCTTCGCGCTGAGGATGAGTGTCACATTGTGGCCCCTTGCTTCTACGGGGCTGTGTGGACCGGCAAACGCTGGGAGTTCCTTGCCTGCGGAAGCGCAGAGGCAACTTCTTGTTTGTCCAAGGAACCTTCTTGTGAAACAGAGGCCAAGCAGAGGACAAGGAATTGCCGATGTGAACTATAATACATGTGACAACCCTGTTAGTCCTTTCCATTATAATCATTAAGAATCTGTTGTTTGCGGCCATTTTCGATGACATGAGCTCACAATAGCTCACACATGTTTATAAGGATTTGG